GCAGATAATAAATATAATAAAAATAATAATGGTCCAAGCACTGAACCCTATGGTACTCCATATTTAATTTCTCTTGGAGCCGATGTATATTTTTTGCCATCACAACTTATTTCAACAACTTGCTTCTGGTAAGCCAAATAGGATTTAAACCATAAATTTTCCACACCTCTAACTCCATATGTTTGTAATTTAGAAAGTAAGGTGTCATGATTTATGGCATCATACGCTTTAGTTAAATAAAAAAAATTCTGACCTGTTTTTCTTTTTTCTCAGCTGATTCCTGTATGTTTGCTGGAAAAGAGTAAATTGCAGTCTCAGTCGACCTAGTCATCCTAAATCCATGTTGGGCCTCTGTTAATATGGTATTTCTTGTCAAAAAGGAGAGTCTATTATGCATCAACTTTTCCAAGATTTTCGAGAAAGCACACAAAAGGGATATTCATCTATAATTTTTCATATCCTTCTTGTCTCCCTTTTTATGAAGTGGTTTTACTTTTTTTTTCTTTGATTTGTTTCATTCTGGTCCGTCACACTAACAATTACAAATATAAATCACTCCGTCCAATGTGACCTGTAAGTTTTTTACTACATGCAAAACTTATGTGATGGTGGTTTCCTATTTGTAGTGATGTTTGCCCTCTGAAGATGGTCCACAGAGACCGAAACATGTAAGGGTGTTAAGTTTTGCATGTAGTAAAAAACTTACAGGTCACATTGGACAGAGTGATTTATATTTGTAAGTGGTTTTACCTTTGTTATCTTAAATCTCTCTGGGAAAATGCCTGCTTCTAGAGAGGCATTATAAATGTGGGCTAATGGCGTTTTAACCGCTTCTATACATTTTTTAACCACATAATCCGGTATTTCATTGGTACCTGCTGAAAATTTCCCCCATAATTTCTTCACCACTTCTAATATCTCATTTTCCGTCACTGGACAAATAAACATGGTTTCATTATAGGTATTTACTCTCTGTGGTGTTTTACAGCACAACATCATACTATTATTTTGACTGACAAGATTTCCTACTATGTCCGCTAAATATAAATTAAACATTTCAGCTATACAATGTGGATTTGCCTCTTTCCTTGTCCCGCACTTTAGTTCTATTCCCAATTCCCTTTGCAGGTTATTTCCTAATTCATTATTCACTATTTGCCACATTGCTCTAGTTTTGTTTTTTGCATTAGATATATGCCTATCATTTTCCCTCTTCTTAGCTTCCTTTAGTACTCTCTTATATATCATTCAATATTTATGTATATACTCCTGTTCTTTTCCTGTAAGATTTGTTCTCTTTTGCAAACTATTCAACCAACTCATCCTTTTACTGGACTTTCTTATTTCCTGAGTAACCCAACTTTTCTTTTGTTCTTTACTCTGGTTAAATAATTTTAAGGGGAAAACTATATCAAAGTAATAATGGAAAGTATCCATAAAAACCTTAAATTTCCCATTTACATCAGATTCTAAAAACACATCTCGCCACGATTCTTTGTTTAAAATATATTGCAGTTCTTCCATGCCTCTTTCATTAAACATTCTCCTCCTAACTTTTAATGGTCTCCTTACAAAATTCTCAATACCAATCATACTTAAGCATAATGATCTTGAAAAACCTAGATCCATTACTACTGATGGTTTTGTATAATTACTATTATTTATAATGATTACATCAATCAATGATTTAGTATTCTTTGTAGCTCTAGTTGGGACCTCCACTGTATTTACCAAATTATATACATGTAAAAGATTTTTTAGTTCATTTAATTTTACACTCTCCTGCAAAATAATCATATTCCACTCCCCACATAAGATTAACTGTTTCCTTTCACACTTAATTTTTAATCACTAGTACCAGTTTCCTTAAAAATTCTTTAAAATTTCCATCAGGTGATCTATATATACAAATTACAATGATTTTATAACCCAACAATTCTATCACCACCATTTCAAAGTTTTTTTTCTCATTCATATCTTGGAAATAATTAACTTCTTTTCTAAACCTTTTTTTACATAAATGCATGCTCCTCCATGGCCACTTGTTACCCTACAGAATGAGTTTGCTAATTTAAATTTCGTAAAGTTCATGTAATCTATTTGCTACTCTTTTTACCAATATTCTGTAAAATGTAATACAGGGCTACTATAAATGATTCATTCGCTTTTAAAACGCTATATTTTCCAAAGTATTATATATACAAATATGATTGTCATATAAAAAGAACCGTAAACTCACCAAGTTCGTATTATGAGCACCAGTTGGCAGCACGAGTTCAGTGCCTTTACAAAATGGCGACAAAGCAAGAAAAGAGTTTTTGTTTGTTGGAATATGCGAGATGTCGTCTGTTAGAGCAGTGCAACGCGCATTCAAAAGAGAGTACGGAAAAGAACCGCCATTAAACAAAGCATTTTGCGGTGGTATCGGCAATTTAAAGACACGCTGGGTTAGGCGTGTTGGTGAGGATGACGTAGCTCTGTTCACTTGACCCCCCAGATCACCTGATCTAACGCCTTGTGACTTCTTCCTTTGGGGGTACAGTAAGAATCGTGTTTACGTACCCCCACTGCCAAAAACACTAGTAGAGCTGAGGAAATGCATCGATGCTGCAGTAATGACCATTGATAGGATGATGCTACAAAATGTGTGGAACGAGCTCGACTACCGCCTGGACGTGTATCGTGTGACCCAAGGGGCACACACACAACATTTGTAGAGTGTGAAGAAAACTTGGTGAGTTTACGGTTCTTTTTATATATCAATCATATTTGTACATATAATGCTTTGGAAAATATAGCGTTTTAAAAACGAATGAATCATTTATAGTAGCTCTGTACACTTATGTAGCTCAACCAAGTCTGCAGTACAACATCTAGTTCTAACACTTTCTTTTTAAGACTGGACATTTTGATGAAGGACTGATACTACATGACTGTGGCTGGTCTTCTCATTAGAAACCTTAATTCTATTTACACTCCCTTTAAACTGCTTGTTGTCCATAAAAAATCATCGCTCCTTGTCACTGGTTGTTTATGACATCTTCGTAATGATCGAACTTCTATTTCCTTTATCTCTAAAATATTCTTCCTTTCTCCACTTTTCCTGTGAATGTATCCTTCCATGTCAGGGCAATAGGTTTATCCTTTTTTCTTTTAACAATTGTTTTAACAGCATCTGATATTTTTCTTGCCATCTTCTCCTTTCCCGATGTATTCATATGCAGCCCGTGACAAGTGAAGTACTCTCGATTTATATCCACATCTAAAATTTCTGTATTATTGTAGATCTTCATCAACTTCTGCAGTTCCCTATTAAACCTTTTTACTTCATTATTAACACAAGATAACACACTCAAGTCATGTCTAATTCATAAACATATGCAACTATATGAAATATTGTTAATAAGCGAGCAATTGCAAACATGATGAGAAGTTCTGATGTTATGGCTGATAAATCTAACAAACACAAAATCTGTACCTGAGTAATAAGTCCTAGCACAGCAGCAGCTAGTAGTAGTAGCCTAACATATTTACTACTCCAAGTAATAAAAATATTACTTTCACTAGGATCTCATGATCATCTGTGCAAAAGGTCAGCAGGCTGGTCCATGAAATAAATTCAATTTTATTGTTGAATTATAAATTAATATTATGTAAATTACATTAATTAAAAAAGATGAAAGTATGTTACATTATACTTCATTTTTCCACTCCAAACATATTCTTAGCAGAAAAAGTGGAATCATCAAACTAGAAAATCTATATAATTGAAGTGTGCCACAGATATTCTGAAATGTGTAAACCTTGACTGGTTCATTACATACCATTCAGTGCTGTTCTGCATACAAGGTGTGTATATGTAAAGTATAACTCAGTTTTTAGGTTGAAATATCTTTCTAAATAGTCTCGGCCAATTTCACTTAGGTTCAGGTACAGATCCAGCACGTCCACTTCTATCAAACCTAAATATACAAGCTGAAACATACAGTTACAGCAATTAGCCTCAGTGAAATCATTCATATTAAGCTTATACCAATTCTGCCTTCATGTTTTCAAACATATCCATAATATTTATAAAGAAAACAGGCACTGGCCCCCTTGTATTTTCTGTTGTTATGTCTATTTTATAATACCAGTGGCTTACTATAAAGAAGGAAAAACTAGAGTTAACACAATGCTATGCCCCCCACCTATTATCACCAATCCTCTATAATCCGTTAATGAAGTCAGTAAGATGTAAAAGTGTGTGATTGTGGTACATTAGTACAAATATTATGTTTTTGGACACTATCTATCATTCTATCTTAATCTCAAAACACAAGGTTTTCGATACTGGATTCTGTCTCTGTCTTCAAGTAAAACCTACTAAGTTGGGCCCAATCAATGCAGCTAGTCCTTATCTTTGAACACCTGATGAAGACAGGAGGTGAATAATGTCAAAAAACATAATATTTGTATAAATGAGGTCAAGTTTTTCTTTTTGCAGTTACTAGATCTGATACAAACTCATCTAATCTATTCAAGGGGAAGTTTTCTGGAGGGGAGATTGCATGTAATGGAAGGAATGGCACAGACCTTCAATGATTTTACAGTCATATTTCATGCAGTGCTTCCATTCAATGACCATAATTTTCACAATACAGTAAAATCTATATAATGTGGAACATGGATTAAACAGAAATTAACCTTTATTAATACATTTCTATGGTACCAAAAATAAAGAGTTAAAACATGTAGAACTACCTTAATATGGGCATGGAATAATTTAACAGAAATTAATCTGCTTGAATAGTTATACTTTTTGTTTCCTTAAATGCACTGCATATTTTCTCCCATGAATTTATCTGAGAGGGACCACTCTGTCACAAATGGAAAAGAATTATGCTTGTTTATTGGCAATAACTGTAAAGTATACTTCAGTGAACTATTGGAAAGAGCAGATGGGAGGAAAGAATGAAACAAAGAATATTATAAAATGTGTACTATTTGATATCAGTGAAGTAAACGAATATATTTTGAATTTCTGGCTTGTGATTTGGGTGATAAATGCATACTCACTCCTTCAACTCCATAAATGAATATTTCAATGTAAACAAACAGTAGCTGGTATCAATTCTAAGCTAAAATGTATTCTCAAGCATGTTACTGTTTCATTTTGCTTATTTGCACACATTGCTGTATGTATCCAATTATCACAGTAATATTAATACTGTATTATTATCTTATTAACTTTTCAAGCAAAACTATTACTGTACGGATATTATGTGTTTGTACTTGACTTGTTCCATATCCTATGATGTCAACCTGTGCTTGGATTTATGGAACGTAAATAAATTCAAATTCAGATAAATATCTGGGGTATGACTGTGCAGTAACTTGTTTCAGACTTATGTCAGTTGGTCAAGAAGCAAATTCACTGACATAGGACAGCTAAGTTTGCAGAAAACAGATGTAATGGGAGTAGCATAATGTAATGTGATATTAGCTGCCATTTGGTAACAATATTACTCTTTGAAGAATACAGTAAAGCTAGTAACTTTGGGGTTAATGATGCTAAATAAGTTATAGCAGTTATTTAGCACTGAATGGGATTATGGTGGTTAGGGTGAAGGGGAAAAATTGAGGAGCATAGCCTATTTCAGAGTACTATCCTAGTATGCCCAAGGGAATCAACAAAACCATGGCAGACACCAATCAGCATAGCTGTCGCCTTAGTAAATATTCAAATAGGGTGCCTCTGTTGTACAAGTTTGCAACACTGTTACTTCAGCTGACTTATTTGGTACAACAGCATAAGACCATATGAACAAAACTGAAACTAATGCTACGGTTTGTTTTGGCCAGGTATAGGACATATCACCATACAGAGACAGACTGCTGGTAGTTTAATCGTATCCTACACACACTGCAAATTGATGTTCCCACCGATAATGACTCAAAATATTTGTTATTTCTTCACAACTCTTAGTGACACCTGTTGGACAGTTAACTAACTAATCTACTGATGCTCTGATTTCTCTTACACTATTAATATGTGGGGGAAGTGTCCCTTTAACATACTGGCTACAGTTCCTGAATTGTCCTAGCATTAATGCAAAGTAAATATTCTTTGTGAAACAATTGGCTACAATCTGAAATCATGGTCTGTCTGAATAGTGCTGGGAGAGAGCAAAGTTGCAGTGAAATACCTTTGCCTTAAAGTGCTGTGTTACCATTTACATTGCCAGCTGTAGTCTGTAGCCCTTATATAATGGAAATGTCTCCCTTAATCAGAATATATAAAGTATTTAAATATCAATTCTTACCAAAGCAACCCTTCCTAATGTAACGCCTTCAAACTTCTCAAAATCTGTATGTGGTGATTTGTTACCACTGTAGCCATCCCCTTGCACAGCTGCTACCTGCAATATTTGTATGTCACATTATTATGAAACTATGCAATGTAACAATGTGGAATATATGAAATGTGTAACATAACATGAGGCAGTGTTACCTGTGCCAAGTTCATAAGTTTGCTGCATTCACTGTCATTAGCAAATCCTTCAGCCACAAATCTATGTTTTCCATGAAGCTCTCTTTCTCCCATCACAGCCTTTATATTCCTTGCAGCAGTTCTTTGCAGCTGTTCCACAGCCCGCTTTTTCTGGCTCTTAATTTTGTCCTCTGCCCGTTTTTCATCTTCAGTTCTAGCACTGCTACTGTGCTCAAGATTTTCTTTAATTACATTCCCTTTATGTTTTATAATGTATTCTTCTTCATTAGGTTTAATGTTAATTTCATATTTTGGCCACTCAAACTTGATGATAGGTGGTGGAAACAGTTTTGATTTAGAAACAGTGCCCATAATAATACTATCCTTCACTTTGGTTAGAGAGGATTTATTCTGAAAGTAGAGAAATGCCTGCTCAATCATGATTCCATAGAAATAACATTCTTACAGGAACACATATATCTTGTACTTTCCTATGGATTCAGAAATGTCTTACTTTTCCCATCTGGCTTGTAGACAAAATTGTGGATTTAATGATTTGTAAATGGTGAAGTAAATGATGGCTACAGCGTACAGTTGGCAGAGATATATCCACGGGAGAGGGGAGATATAGCTAATAACTCAATGCAGCACAATCTGTCTTGAGAAGCCATTAACCATTGAGCTAGTCAAGAAGTTCATCGCCTTTTATGAAACCAGAAGTTTCACTACTGTATTCTCAAGAACCCACCACAGGACCTTATCCATGGCCAGATGAATCCAGTCCACGTTTTCACACCCTATTTCTCTAAGATCCAGTTTAAAACTATCCTTATTTCTATGCCCAAGCCTCCCAAGCTGCCTTGTCTTGTCAAGTGGTAAGACTAAAATGTTGCCATTTTTTCTAATATATCCCATGCCCTGCACACCATAACTAAATTGACTGGAACACTCAAATTATATTTTGTGAAGAATAAAATTATGAAGCTCCTCATAATGTACTTCGAGTAACCTCATATTTCTTTGGTCATGCAAGCAGTGTAATTGATTTCAAAGTTGAAATGCTGACACATCATCCAAAACAAGCAGCAACTGAGTATAAAAGGGGAATTAATTAATTTAATAAATTATCACCCTATATTGGACATAAAACCGATTAATCTGGACTAAATATTGGGTAGACACGTCATCTCTTTTATTATATATCATTAATTTCTCTGCTTCATTTGTTCTACCTATTCTTACCAGACCTCTATTTTTTATCTCATCCATTTACTTCTTCTCCAGAACACATATTTACTGTATCTCTAAATAGCAGCCACTGTTACAATTCATTTCATGCATATTTTTGTGTGATATCAGCTATTCTAAAAAGTTTATACAGTTCAGTTTGAACTTCACATAAATTGTATTGCACCAATGTGAAGAAAAATTAGACTTTAACAATTTTTAGTACACGCCAACCAAACGTAATTTTGTTCAAATTCGTTATGTGGTTTGGAAAATGAAAAATTTATACAGACTAACGTTACCATCCTCTCATTCATATATATCAATTTCATGCACTGTGGGCAGAGAATCCATAAAGATGGCAAAAAATTCAATAGGTCTCATTTTCACTGTCTTACAGAAGACCATGATACACCAGACATCAGTGTATAAATATGGAAACTAATTATATTGTATGAAGCATCATGTTGCATTCTGCATTCCAATTTAGGAGACGGTGAAGTGAGGATCCTAAAAATGGAAACTTTTGACTCTTAGGTCTGTTGCATAGTAGGAGTCCTTTGGTTCAGTTCTTTATAAATATGGCTAAGATAATGTAAAAGGTAAATTTTCTCTATGCTTAACTAATTAAGTACTACCCCATACACGCATATGGGGGAGTAGATGTATAGATCCACATTTTCTTGATTCTGGCACTAGCTGCAGGCGAGTTGTCAGCTTCATGCCATCAATATGGTTAAGGTGTTTCATCCAAACTACTGCTTTATCTTGAAGTACTGGGTCTCAGTTGTTTAAATTTATGGTTCATCTTCGTACTAATAAAAAGTAAGTAAAGCTATCCCTGTAACAGGCCATGAAGGCCCAAAGGGTTGTGAGATGTTAAGGGTCCCACACTATCTAGACAATCGGCTCAAAGATGGCGGTAAGGTTGTCAGCCCTACGCGCCAGCCGCGTTTTACTCCCCAGGAAAATTATTTATTTAATTCCTGGTACTCATTTCTGTTAGAGGCTGAGTGAACCCCAGGGCCATAGTGTGGCCGGAAGGATTAGGTCAATTGAAAAAAATCCAATCAGTATTTGAACCCGCGACCTTCCGACTTGTAGCATAGTGCCTTAACCACTACGCTACCACGTGCCCCCTCTTCATACTAATATTGTTTCCAAAAGCCTCATATCAACCCACAATAGCCAGATTGAGTATATTCAGTAAAGTATAGTTTAATGGTAGCCTCCTATCCAATGGGTACCTTCAACTAGTGTTGAAGTCAGTAAAACGTGGATCTATATATGCACTTCCTCATACGTGTTCATGGTATAGTGCTTAATTAGGTAAGCACATGGACAACTTTACTTTCATTTTACTTAGGAGTTTAATGGCATTTTTCATACTTCAATTAAAGTTAAATTTCTATTGTGTTGAAGAAAAAATGTAAAATTTCCTTTCTTTCTCTTAAGAAGTAAATATCCACGAAAAGTACTGTCTTCTTGGATGTGACACCATACAGTCTGGTAGAAGTATACCAATGTTTTGGAGGCAGCACATTCCTCTGAAATGTCCATAAACTTCGACATTACACAGTATCACATCATTGCTGTGAAAACCTCAGTATATTCATATTTGTGGATTAGGCCTATAGCATGATTCCTTTGATGGTGGATCAGCTCACTGCAGTGCCCATACCATTATAAGACAATGCGGAAAAGTGGAGTGAACTATCCATCTCCAAAGGAAACTTCTGTGTGTAGGCAGTCCAACAATGCATGACTTAAACAACATGGTAAATGGGATTACCACCTTCAAACAAGAACAATTTTTCTTTTATATGTGTAAGGTTTAATGTGTACATTACACAATGATAGGTTCATTAATCTCCATGTAATGGAAATTTACAAATTTTCCTTTCTCTGTCTTGTTTTACATTTCAGTAGATATCAAATATGATCTTACATAAAAAACCATCACAAACATAACTTTATAAACATGGCAGAGCCATATCTACATATCATGTCTAAGTCCAAACAATCATTTTAAGGACAAATGAAAGAAGTCTGAAGTCTTGCCAAGATATTTTGAGAAGTAAACATAATTTCTACGGATCTTTTTCACACTGATGTATCAATTCTGCCATTTTATTTGAGGGCTTGAAACTATGCCATGAAAGGTTTACCAGAAATAACTACTTTGACCAGAAGTTACAGAAATTAAGCACTTTGTTTTATATACCTCTCCCATATAGTGGACTTCTAATACAATACAATGTAATACAGTATTATCAACCCATATTCTCGTAATGTTTAAACACAATTCTGTGTGTTAAAATTATCATACTGACATTCTAAGAATGCCTTATGGAAACACTGTGTCTGCCATGTCTCACATTCCTGAATATATGATAAATTTTAACACAACTGATATGAGAGAATGTGGTAAAACACACTGAAAAGTGGAATTTGGTCATTTAAACCAATTAGATCTAAAAACCTCTGTATTTAGTTCATGAAATATATTCATACTTCTGGCCAAATATGTATCTAACTTATATATGTATATGTATAATTAACAAGCTATTTCTGAGAAACATGATGAAATCTGAGTACATAAAGAGACTACATGTCAGTCCTATAATAACTTTTACATTCTTGATTTAAATAATAAAACTGTTTTCTGGTATTCCACTGGTATTATGAAATGCGATGTGAAGCATCAACTTGTTATAATATGCTTTCCTAGATACTGTTCATTACACTAGACTATGGAGGACTAAAACTCATATGCAATAAAATGCTACTACTGCATTTCAACATATATATATAACTTCTCTATATCTTACAACAGTCCTTTCAAAATTGTGCTCTTCAGCACCTTGGGCCCATCGATTACTTTCTCTAATGGCAGATTTTGTTGCAAGTGCCAACCTCCAAAATAAATGCCAAATGCGAAACACAGTTTGTCTGTAAGTAGTCTTTATGCTGAAATTATATATGCAAAATATAAATAAACTTCGAATATTTTTCAATTGTGACATTCATTAACAAAAATGTAGTGTGATCCGAAGCCTCCATCTGATTAGTGTTACATATTTTTGGATACATCTTCGTGTAAAATCCACTTTCATTACAATCAGGTGAAAACAGCAAACCAGGTGAGGTTATTACATGTGACTCTGAAACAAAGCCCTGATTCATTGGACCTTCTTTCACTTCTGAGGTAGACTCATTTAATATATTATGAATTAAAATATACTTTTCATAAATTTAATGTTTCACATAACATGCCTGGGTGCATGCGGTAGCATAGTTGGTTAAGGCACTATGCTACAAGCAGGAAGGTGGTAGGTTCAAATCCTGATGAGGTCAGTGGATTTTTTCAATTGACCTTCCAGGTGCACTATGGCCCTGGGGTCGACTCAGTCTCTAACAGAAATGACTACCAGGAATTAATTAAATAATTTTCCTGGGGAGTAAAGAGCGGCCGGCGCGTAAGGCTGACAACCTTACCACCATCTTTGAGCCGATTGTCTAGATAATTTTGGACCCTCAACGTCTCACAACCCTATGGGCCTTCACGGCCTGTTACAGGGATAGCGTTACATTTACTTACTTACTTTACTAAAATGTCTGTATAAAAGTGTACCTTCACAATAGATTGCACTGAAACAGAATCCTGGAATATTCACTAACAGTCTCATTTCAGCCATCTAGCTTACTCTCAACAAAAGGACAATTTGTTACAATTGAAGAACAAACATTTTTTCTCAATAATTCTCCTTATGCAACCTCAGTTTCTTTTGCACTTGAGAGAATCTGCCTTCTTCTGTGACCTTTTTGTATATATACTTTTGGTTTTTGGGTTCCATCAGAATTTGTAGGCAAATAAGAGGGTTCCACTGTCAAATGCATTTAGGAAACATTGCCCTCGGATACAACATACTGAAAAATATAACATGAATAGTGACAACACATTCATTTCAAAATGACACAATCTTGGAATGCTTTTCACAATAGATAATATTTAATTAAGCACTACATAAATGTTAAGTGGTATGCGGTTACATTTATTGTGTTAATGACCCACAGACACACAGATGAGAAAACAGAAATAATAATAGAATTCAGGGCAGCCCGTTGCTAAATGGATGAAAGATTTTTAAGCAGAAATGCTGATTCCTGATGGAAGATGGCAG